CTCTGCATGCTTGAGTCATAGTACTGAAACAATGCTGTCCTATTCATTTCCACAGCAACAGATTGTTAAGTCCCAAGTAAGTTTCTGACTTCACTGTAGTATCAAGCAGAATAGAAACTAGGATGAAACAAGAAACAGTTTATTCTTTCCACTCCTTCCCCTACCGGGCAGCGGAGAGGGCCGTGGTCAGCCTGGCCAACTTCCTGCTGGGCCAGGCCAAGATGGCCACCCTGAAGAGCTGGCGAAACCGGCTCGCCGGGACCGGGATGGTCGACGCCCTGCAGCTCTTCCGCCTGCTGGTGCGGGCCCAACGCGGTCCTGCGGCGGACGGTGCCCACCTTCGAGGAACGCTGGGCCCTCGAGGGGGTGCTCTGCCGAGTCGAGGTGGGGCGCCTGCTCCTCGCCCTGTAACACCCCTGGCTCCTCAAGCTGCGGCGATGCGTCCAGCAGGCCGAGGCCTTCGCCTTGTCTGCAGTCGGGTCGAGCCCTGAGGCCCCCCATGGGTATCCCCACTGGCAGAAATGTAAATATGTAAATAGTCCTTTGACTCGCTATGGTTTTTTAATCTAGAGTGTACGGGCAGGCCTTGCAGGCCATGAGCCCAGGCCTTGTCCGTGAGGCCCAGGTATCCGGGCGTACGTGTACATACTCTTTACTGTCTCCGAGTTGTCACCCTCCCTGGAATAAACGCCTCTTAAAAGTCAAAGTCTTTCTTTCTTTGTTTCTTTCTTTCTCTCTCTCCCTCTTTCCCACCCCCTCTCTGTCTCTTCCTCCCCCCCTCCCCCCCAATAATCAATTGCAAAAGAATTACAGAAAATCAGGGTAAAAACACATTTCCTTCAAGTCATGCTAGTATGCAAGTTTAGCAACTTAGGACTTACTGTGGTGCTCTGGCCTTCTTCCCAAGTAGTACTGAATTTTGTACTTTGGAAACTAGTACTTGTTCCAGTACTCAGCAGTGGGTCCAAATGTCCTGGGATATTAGTAAAAGGGGTTAAAGTCTTCCACCCTTAAGTCCACTGGTTCAAATTTGAATGATGTCAGCTCTGAGTAGGAAAACCATCTTAGTTTCAGGTGCCTGAGGAGCAAGGTTTGTTTGTTTGTTTTTTAAACCTTTTTCTTTCACCAGTCTGATTTCTGAGTTACTTGGGTTCCTGTGAAGTTTCACTTTCATAGAGGAAAGTAAATTGGTTCCCTTTCAAGTGACATAAATTTTAAATTGGCCCAGTTGCTTGGCAGCAAAACTGAGGGGCGGGGGAGGGAGGTAGCAGCAGGGGGAACTAGATATCTTAAGTTCAGTTGCCAGTACTTCTCAAGCAGATAAACTTCAAAGAGACTCTCCTTCTTTCCCATTCCCCCCAGCCTCACTCTCAGCTCTTCAGAGGTGTCTGAATTGCTTTACATTTTAAGTTCTTTAAAAAGTCTCTCATGAACAAGAGGCTAAGATTTCTTAGGGTAATATCTTTTATTGGACAAACTGCTTTGTTGGGTAGTTAGACAAAGTTTTTTGAATGCAAAACAATCCTGATCCACTCAGACCCGATGAAGTGAAATCATCCTCCTGACTACTTAAATTCATCTACCTGTTATTAGAAATAATGTCAGATCTGACGAATAATGTCTTGCATTCAGAAGCTTGTCTCTATTCCAACTATGCAGTTGGTCTAATAAAAGATATTATCATAAGAAATCCTTGCCTCTCACACAATTCCTGGACCATCATGGCTACATCACTTTAACACTCCCATATTAACAAGGTATTCACTGCTCCCAATTCAGTTGCTGTAGAGCTAAACAATATCAGGTATCCTTCCTAATGTTAGGGAAGGATGACCACCTGTTTTGACTGTCCTTCCAACTAAATTTTTAGTGTTTTTAATGTGGAAGACATTTTCCAACCTTTCCCCCCATAACTATCTTAACTCATTCTCTTAAGAAATAGTTTTTTGTGTGAGATTCAAAGTACCGGCTGAGCACCACCTGGGAATCAGTGCTGTGATGGGCACAGACAGCTCAGCCAGTCCGTGGATTCAGTCAAAAAGTCCAGTGGCATCAGTCAGTCAGAAAGTGTCTTAGGGCAATCAGTCTTCAAAATCACAAGTATTTGACTTACACATGTAAAAATATTTAGGTGTACCCTATACAAAGCTATACGGTATTAAAACACATACAAAATGCTATCTCTGTAACCTGGTGCCTAGCAAGTTAATAGGTTTACACAAAGGCTCAAAGTTTCAATGAATGTAAATTGATTATTTGTGGAGAAAGGGAAAACTGTCAGTCTCAACCACTATAGTTCCATCTTTGCTAAAAATGTTTTTTTATAACAGTTCTAGAAACTAGCAAATTGACCATCAAAAATGATGGGGGGGTGGGGGTGGTCAGGGATGGAGCGCCACCACCCACCACCCTGCACTGCTGCTGCCTCCTGGGGGGAGGCGGGAGGGGGGTGGAAGTTTGCACATGGCATTGCTGCTGCCACCTACCACCCCGTGCTGCCGCCTCTCTGCATCCAGCCACACGTCAAGCCCCACTCAGCCCCCCGCTCTGCGTCCGGCCCTGTGCCACAGCCCCCCTTGCATGGTCCCCCCTGCATGGGGTTGTGGGTGGCCACCGCCATCCACTGCCCCTCACTACCACCAACCACCCCCCACACCCCTGCTCCGCATCCAGCCCCATGCCACCCCTCCCCCTCCTCCCTGCTCTGCATCTGGCCCTGTGCTACCCATGTCCGCTCCCCCCTGCTCTGCATCTGCATGGCCTGCTCCGCTGGAGCCGCTCCCCACCTGTCATTCTTGACACAGCACTGGCTGGAGCCATGCCCCGCCAGGAGCCATGCCCCACAAAAGTGTTATGGACAGACAGACGAGATGGACTAAGCCATGTGTATGTGTGTGGTGGGACTTTTGTTTATTTAGTGGCTTTTATTTTGAAAGATCTCAAAGTGCAATTAAAACGCAAGCAACTAAAGGTTTACTAGTAACTTGAAAAGGAATTAAGGCAGGGATGGAAAAAATAGTTGCTCAAGCAAATGGAATTTTTGCAGGTGGTGGAATTAGAACGTGCTTCCATCAGCCTTTAGGTAGGAGACTTTGCCGCCTCAGCCGGAACAAAATTGGCTCTTGGCTTCTTTTAAGGTCATCCTTTTGTTTGGGTTATGGAGGCTTGGTATGTGTACCCCCTATTCCAAACATGGGAGGAAGGGGAAGGTTTATCTGTGGGCATCAGTGGTGTGGATAATGTTTATAAACTGTTCCTGCAGTGACCTCTGTCACTACCTAGCAGCAGTTCCCATCCATTTGTGAATAGGATCAGAATAGGATTGGGTTTTATGCTTTGCTATAGACAGTGTACTTTTTATCTTCTTTTTTTTAACACCTGAAAAGGAATTTTACCCAGTGGCTAGCTAAATTGGGTAATTCAGAGTAAGTTCATTTGCACCGTCCTCACAGTATTCAGGGAACTAGCTGAGTAGATCAGGAAGTTCAGTGTAAATTTTTGCTCTTTATCTTGTGGTAATTGTCCAGTGCAGGTACTCATTCAGTAGAGAGAGGTAGTTAGTGTTGTAGCCTGAAGTCAGGCAGAAGGCAGAGCAGAGTAGATCAACAGGTATTCATTGAGTAAGGGATTTGGATACTCTGATAGACTAGAATTAGAAATGGGCTCAAGGGAGGTTCCCTAAGGGAGCTGAGAAAAGTGGCTCCTAATACCTCATACATAGAAAGACCACCTCCTGTTTACCAATCCCCCTTAAAAGGGAGGGTGGTAAAAAGAAGTGGGAACAGTCAAGGACTGCACCGTATGATTTGTTGCTGGTTAGTGTTCCCAGATGAATTAATAAAGTTGTATCCTAATTAAACCATATCCCTTCTGTCCTGTCTTTCTTCCTGCATGGCTGAATCAATAGACAGGCCCTCAGTTTCATCCAAAAGCCAGTATATTTAATTTGACAGATGCATTCTGTACATGCCTAAATTAATCATTAACCAGAGGGACATATCAAACTGCCTTCAAAACAGAGACAAAAGCATGAAAAATATCATTTTTAAATAGTTATTGTTATGTTTTGGATCCAGTGATCCAAATTATTTTGGGACAATGAATCATGTTTATCCATTTAACAGCACTGTGCTGTTGCTGTAGTTTAAAATCCAAGTATAGTTAACTTATAGTATTTTTACTTTTGAAGTAAATGTTGAAATTGTGAAGAGATAAAAATGCTGTTGTTGATAATGTTTTAAAGTTGTTTGGAAATGCTCCAAGGTAAAATGATTAAATATTTTGTCATTTGAGGCAAATATTTAGAAAGTTAAGTGTGAATTAATTTTACCATAGGGGTTTGTCTTCACTGCAGAATAATTAAGACTTTTTAAATTCTAAAATAATCACCTTTAGTTACAGCAGTTACCTATAGAAGTTACCGAAACTCTTAATATACTCTTGGTGGCACTGTTCACATTACTATATGTGTGAAACTAGGTAATTAAAAGCTCCTTAATAGCATCTGCTTTTTAGAAGCATTTCTAGTCCTGGTAGTAACATTTTTCTAAATTGTGGTGGAAATTAATTTAGTCTCTGGTATTCTTTTCTGTCAGATCTCCACATTTGCTATAGAGGTGCCTTTTTAAAAGGGTGGCAAATGTGTGCTTTTCACAATAGTTTTCTTTGTACACATTATTTTAAAATGTCCTGTGTATAAATAGTGTTATTTTGGTTACTTTTAGCTATCATGTATGCCATCATAAAAAGCTGCACAATATAGTTGCATTGCATATTTGGAAGAGATAATTTAGCAGGCTGAGTAAACCTTTTCTGCAGGTAATTTTACAATGGTTTAATATTAGTATGGGGTACAATTCTATGTAATCCTACTGAATTGTCTTCAAAATAGTGTACTTTATGGGCTCAATTCCTTCTTGATTTACTTTTTAGAGGTAAAATTGTTGTTATTTAGGCATGTTAGGAAATATTTTCTAACAGTGTTTTCTTTTCCACAACAGGACACTACAAGTATAGAAAAAATGTCAAACTGTTGTGAAGAAATGTAAGTGCAATAAAATTCACTGACTTATTTGCTAAATAATCAAAAGGCAAACAATCTAAAACAGCGTGTGAAAGGAAACTGAAGACACTAGAATGGGTTTTTGCATGTCCTCTCTGTAGCAGTGAGTCAGTGGGGTTTTTTATGCTTGTTTTTAGACAAAATATCCCAAGATTATTCTTGTTTTCTGTCTGCCCAAAGCAAGCAAAACTATATTTTGTTTCAAAAGCGCAGATCAAAAGATACTTGCTACTGTGTTGTTGACACACATTTCATTGATCCTGAGGTCCTTCTCTGCTTCAAAAGTTGCCTTCAGTTGATTGACGACACCATTTTTGCTATCCAAAGTTAAGTCTCAGCTGCATGCCATAATGAAAGAAAGGCTGTATTTGTGATGCTGGGACACAATTCATCAGAGTCCAGTAATGGATCCCCAGCCAACCCGTATTGTTCTAACTGACTGAAGTGCACCATGGGAGTGCTGTCTTTCACTAATAATGCTGTCTTCTGTAGATCGAGCCCCCGAAAGCCATGGCAGCAGACCTTCTCAGAAGTTTTTGGCACTCGCTGGAAGATCCTGTGGTTTATTCCTTTCAGGCAGAGGCAACCACTGCGAGTTCCCTACCACTTTGCCAATCACGTCTAAACAGATGGATGGTGGGCACAGATGGGTCCTCCATGCTGGAAGTGCGTTACAGGTTTTATGATAATAGAACTATGACAGTCTTCAAGTCAATTAAAATCCACCCACCAATCTTAGACATCATAATGTGCCCCAGGCTTTATTTTAATAGTGGTCTTGATTCTGTTGTGGGATTAATACAAGTTCTTTGCTTAAGTTTATGGAATATTTACTTTCAAATTAGCTTTCCCACGGGATTTCTTTATTCTTTGAGGTTAATAACAAAAGCATAAATGACTGCAATACAGTCTTATTTAATTTTGTTTTGATACAGAATATTTTGATTCTTTTTTCCTTTTTGAATAAGAAACAAAAGTTTACAATATGAATCGAATCTAAACTAAAGGTCTTCGTTTGCATTTAGCTTTTTAATGTTTCTTTTAACAATAGATCTGTCAAAACAATGTGAAGGTTCTTTTTTCTGCCAATTGGTTTTTAAAATTCCCTAATGCCTTCTTTTATTTATGATGTATGATATTAATCATGCAGCACTACATTGCAAGAAGGTTAAATTCTAAACATAATCAGACTTCTTCCTAGATATTTTCCAGAAGTTTTTTATATGAAGCTAGAATTTGCACCTTATGATTTATCATCATTATTCTTGTTTCAGTGAAAGCTATTAAACACCTTAGGATAATATTCTGTTTTTTTCCTTCTCCCAAGATGTCCTCATAATTTGCAATAATTTCACATATTATCTGGATGGTGCAAATATTAGAATGCATACTTAAAAAAATACAGAATCGAGTAGTTGATATGATATACCAAGTAAAAATATACAGAGCAGTATGTAGTTACTAAAGTTCTATTTTACATTTTGTCACTACTGGAATTAGAATTACCTTTCAGGTGCTTATATGTAAATGGGTAGTGTGTATAAATATACTTTTAAGTATTACATGTAAATACTTATTTTACAGACAAGCACTATATTACCATGTACAGTGAGGTAGATGAACTGTTCTAATTGGGTACTGTGTTGGGGCATGAGATCATTTTGCTCTTGTTCTTGAATACAGGGGGGTCTTCTTTTTAGGAGTAGTTAACTAGAGAAGGTATCCTTCAGATCAGATCAAATGGTAAACTAATTTTTGTGGCTTATGGTTTTGTTACATACTTGTTTCTAGAGAGTCATCGGGTATTTGTGCATCTTGAATGTTTTGTGAATTTTCACGAAGAGAAATTTAATCTCTGACGTTTATCATTATTCATTTACAACATTTTTTGTCCAGTCTAAGAGAAGAAGTAGTACGTGTCCTAGATGACCCTCATTACAAATAACAGCAATCAGAGCAAACAAGACAGACTGAAAAGTATTTATCTGAATTACTGGCAAATGCATTAAAAGAGAATTTAAGTCAATTTATGAATGATTCACTTGCTAAAGAAGGCAAGGTTTATAATCTTTTAATAATAATGAATATGTTGAATAGCTTTTTAAAGATCTAAATGTGGTCCACCTGCCTTTTTTGGCAGAAAGATTAAAATAATCTCTTGGCAGTCATACAAGTCTCATTTTTAAAATGATTTGAATTTTGAAGGGCTGTTAAAAATAATATTTGAAACCAAACTGCATGTATTTTATTTTCTGTGGGTTTTTTTTAAAGGTGTGCAGTGCTTCCTTTCCTGGGATTTTTAGAATTCTGTTGAACTATTCCTTTCATATACTCGCATATTAAGCTGTAGTCCTTTGGCTGATATTTAAGCCAATTTTAAAATTATTAAAATATGATAAAAATGCTGATGTGGCATTTGAAGTTTACAAATGTCCACAATATAGAATAACTGCTACATCCTCTTTAAGGAAAGGGGAGTTGCCTGCTGTATCTTTAGTGAAAACTCTGGGGAAAAATTTGCAGGCATTCTTATTCTGTTGTGTAAATATTTAACAAATTTAGCAAAGAACAGCTCTATATAAATATAGTATGTATATATAAATTATATGTTAAGCTGCCCTGCTAATAAAGTATCTTAGTTTGCAGGTCATAAAACACTGAAGCCTTTCATTAAAGGACAGGATCAAGGCATTTAAATTACCTTGATTTACGCATTATGGGACATATAATTATTCTTTCTTACATATTTCTTTGAATTAGTTAGTATTGGGGGACCCAAAACTGCAGTATGTAATTGAATGGAATATAGGAACCTGTGTTGTAACCAGTCTATTCCAATATTGTAAACTACATATACACATACATTGAAATGATGAGAACAATAAATCTTATCATCTTTACAAGGAGAAAAATTAGCAATTAGCCTAAACCTAAGAATGTGGCTATGTTTCAATATTAAAGTAAAAAGTAAGAAATAATTTATCAACTAATCCTACAGTGACTGGAGCTTGAGAATAAATGTATGCTGAATGTAGTGTGTTTGTGTGTGTATTTAGGTACATATCTATAATTTATAGTTTCCAACTTGGCTGATTAGTAGGTGTTACTGACTTAAGTCTTTAGCCAATCAGGCTAAAGGTAAGGCTTACATATGGTCGTCACACATTCACTTGCAACAGTTGTAAATCATTGGGATGTTACTGAATCTATTAAAGTTAATGCATGTTAGGAGGTAACCCTCTCCTGAAAAGGAACAACTTTGTTACATTCAGTGGTGTCACAAACTCCTTGAATGTGTGTCTGCTTCCATTTTAACTGCATTTATAAGTGTTAAATTGGATATGTGACACTACCTATATGCTCATATCTTGGGAAGTATCATTCTCTCCCATTCCCAAAGTGCTGTCTTTTGGCCATGTCCTGTAATAACATTGGCTGTCCACTTGGGGAAGAGATGCTGTTCTGCTGCCCTGCCTTATAGATTGCTGAACCCTCATTCTCACACAGTAGTTATTTGTAGCAATAAGTGGTGGGAAATAGAAAGAACTACATTAAAAGAAAGAGTCTGTTTAGAAGAATCTGTTCTCGTGAATCTGGCATACATCCAATTTTTTTTTTTTTTTTTAAAGAAAAAACCCCCAAAATTTGAAGTACAGACATCTAGCAAATCCTTTGAATAGATCCATAATTTGTATTTTTGTATTTCTATGTCAAGCAAGGTTAAAACAGTTTGCTTAACTCAGTTCCAACTTTTCTTTCAAAAGCTTTTCTTTCAAAATTATGTGTTGTAAATAAAAAATAAAACTGTCAGAATTAGAGATACTTGCTTGAGAAAAACAAACTGTAGCTGAAGTATCAGATTTAAAATTTGTGTTTTATGAGAGACTCTCAGGCCTTGTCTGACTGCTTTGTGAGAATGATAATATCACAGTCTGTTGCTTCTAATGAGTTTTGGAGTCCAATTTGAGACATTTTAATTTTCAGGAAATACTGAATATCAACCCTCTTCACCGTATATAAAGTTGGGGGCCCAAAAACACTTAAAATTTGGCTCAAGCCCATTAGTATATTCACTAAATCAATGAGCTTGCAGTCAGGATTCCCCAGACCTGTTTTGTTCCATGGATGAGAGCTTTGTTAGGTTTAAGCATTGATGTTAGTCTTATCCCTATAATCTTAGACATGTTCTAGTTTCTACTTTTCAGACGATTTATCTGACCATCTAACCATTTTTGGTTTTTTGTTTGTTTTGTTTAGTTGTTTTAAAGTCCACATATAACAAACTTTATTAATGCTTTTATCTTTGATATAAATTCAACCCTGAACAAATTTGTAGGTGATACCACAACTGGCGAGGTAACACATACAAAGGGGGCAAAACCACTTTTAAAAGTAAGTTAGAGAGATTAAAGCAGTACTGGATACTAGCTGTTGCTTTATTCCTTGCTATCCTCCCCCCTACGTCTTTTTGTCCTTTGACACTGATCATTTCTGAAGACTAATTGATTTTGCTAAGCTTTGTTTCACAAGGTTTGTGAACGCACACAATCCTGAAGGATCTCATGTTAGTAATAACTATAAGCATCTTTATTGACTTCTGTAGATATTGGCTATAAGAAAATAGTATTTGCTGTATTGTACAAATGGAAATACAGGCCTTGAGGAGAGCATTTTGGAAACAGTCTGTTTCCTTTTCAGCTGCAGGATTTTGTGTTGAAGTGTTGTCATCAGAAGGGTTGGTAGTAAACTGGACAAGGAGTAGTTAACTAGAGAAGGTATCCTTCAGATCAGATCAAATGGTAAACCAATTTTGTGGCTTGTGGTTTTGTTACATACTTGTTTCTAGGGAGTCATCAGGTATTTGTGCATCTTGAATGTTTTGTGAATTTTCACAAAGAGAAATTTAATCTCTGAAGTTTCTCGTTATTCATTTACAAAGTTTTTTGTCCAGTCTAAGAGAAGAAGTAGCATGTGTCCTAGGTGACCCTCATTACAGTAAATTGTGGGATAATAATATCTTTTGGAAGGATTTCAGATTTTGGTAAAACATCTCATCTATCACTAGGGAACTTTTAAAATAAAAGCAAGATAGTTTGGGGGTTTTTTTTTCCTTGCTCATTGCCTGTCAGTAAATCTTCTACTCTTGCCATTTGAGCGAGTGAACTATACCTTAATGACTTCCTTTTCAGTATTGTTAAACTCAGTTCTGGTTGGCAGAGAAGTTGAAGTATTGTCACATTTACTCTCAGGTAGGACTCAGTAATAATGTAAGGCAGGCTAGTAAATTAACCTGGATGGACAGACAGGACTTGGACTAAATACTGCTTTGTATCTGGGTGCTCATAAATAGAAAATGGGGAGGGAAAGCAAGGCAGATGGGTCCAAAAGAATACACTGTTTCAACTTTATTAAATTGAGAGAAATAATAAGAATAGCACTATAGTTTGAACACTTGAAAAGCTCATTCTTTGATGCCTGGTTTCATTCATTTAGTAAGTAAGCGATACTTTTCATCATTAATGAGCAAACATTTATAGTATTTCGTATCATAGAAAACCACTGGATATATATATAAGCAACCTTGAATAACATTAGAAGTAGTAATATGGGATCTGAGGAGCACTAAGACAGAATTTGCTGTGCTAAAACAGTGTTTTATTGTAATGAAACACAAGTTGCTTAAATTACTTAACTGTAAATCTGAAAAAAATACTTTATGTAATTTTTTTAAGGTTTGTTCATAGTAAGATGCCAGTCTTTCTGGCAGCAGTATCACTAGTAGCTGGTTGTTGCTGCTTTATAGATTATATATGAGTTAAGTTGATTATGATTCTTATCTTTTTTTCTTTTCACCTCAGACATAATTTTGTTGCTACCCACAAATAAGATTAAACCGTAATAGGTATACCTGAAGATAAAACTGAATATTTTTAGTTCAAACTGACCCCTTAGATTTATTTTTCTTAATGAAAATAACATCCTACTCTTAGAAGAACGATATGCTGGTTTAACACATGGTGGAGTCTTGAGCTCCTGGGTATTAATAGTCATTCCATGTATACATGGCATATCCCACTGGTGATGGTACTACTTAAATTGTATTGTATGTACATTTTAAAATATTCCCAAATTAACACCTAAGTGTACTTCTGGGATTATCCAATACTGAAAGATAAGAGTTGCTTAAAATAGTATGAACAGTAATTAATGCCACTTTGCATCTCTCACCAATCCATCCTATTACTAGTTATCTGCAAGGGAATAATTGACTAATAAATTGTTTCATAGTGGCTTATAACATAGCATGTTCCTGCTCCATGTAGATTCCTGCCAATGAGCAAATAAGCATATTGATTTAATGTTCTCAGGACAAAGGTGTATTGTTTTATTTTGTCCTTCAAACCAGGTAGTACCAGTTTCTCCTCTTCTTCTACCACCAGTCTGTCAGATCCTATGCTACATTTTGTAGTGAAAGGTTTGCTGCCATTCCCAAGACAACTTGACTCTTAAGACAGCTTGACCGAACTGCAGCGACCTGTAGGCTCTCTTGAAATGGGGTAATTAGATGGGGTAATTAAAGACTTAACACAGGCCAGATGTCTCAAGGGCTATCCTTTCCCACTCCGGAGAAGGATGGCTTGATTGGAACTTACTTTTCCTCCTAAATCCAGATGGATGTAATTCTTCTGGGCCAGGCCCCTTCCTCTGAATAGGAGGGCTGCTCATTCTGCATATTTTGAGAACGCTGCTGAATTCTAATAGGTCTCTACTCAGTGTCCTTCCTGTATCTCCATTCTGGTGCCATGTTTACTTTTGCAGTGCCTAGAGATTCACTCCACTCTCCTGTTTTTCAGCCTGCTGCTTCAGATTTTGTATATGCCCTGCAGGTGGCAACAAAGCACAGGCCAGCCCGGTGATATCTAGTGGACATTGAAAGAGAATTTGAAGGGCCTTGGAAGCCAAAGGGCATAGATCCTCGTGCCTTAGTTTAGTCCTAGTATCAGTTCTGGATTGCTGAATAAGCTCAGCTAATTGATTTTTCTTACTGGGTACCTGTCTGTCAATCTAAACATTTTATTTAAGAAGGCAGTTGGAACTAGAACAATTCCCACATTTAATTTTTCAGATATTTCTCAGCCAACAGTGAAGGCAGTGGAAGTTGCGGGCATTCAGTATCCCTGAATATCGTGACACTGTTACTTTGTAGTCTTGCACTGTCTCTCTCTATTTTAGTCACTGTGACATTCAAAACAATATTTCAGTAACGAATCTAAGTGTACAGTGAAAAGAATGTGTAGGGTGTGAAATGAAGTATCTTTGCAGGGCATGCTTACATGTCTCCGTGTGAGGGACTAACACGTGATTTGATATTAAAGGATCAGAGTTATGTGGGCACACCCGGTTACAATATACTTAAGTTTATCCAAACAAAATCATTCCTTTTTTATTTTTGATAATGTTCTGGAACAGGAATTTTGCTAGTGTACTCAGGTCTGTCTCAGCTCTGCTCCCTCTCACCTTCATTGCTCGTTCACAGTCTCCCTAGCACGGACCAGCAATATTGAGAAGGTGTAACGGCAGACATGTTCACTTCTTACTGGCAAGAATAAAAGTCTCAGTGATGTGATGACTTGGGAATGTGTGCAGTAGATATGAGAGACTTTCTTTTTTTAAGCTTAATTTCTCCAGTTCCTTTTCTTTCAATAATTTGTGCTGGTGATGATAAATACACAGTTCTAGGTCTTGTGATTCAAAGCAAGGGGGTTAACTGCTTAAAATCTTGACATATTTTTAATCAATTGTTGTGCCTGTATAAGCAAACTTGAAGAAAATGTCTTACTTTTTTGTGGGTTCTGAACAAATACTGTTTCTCATGGCATAATAAACAGCAGAGATTTGCTGTATATTAAGCATTATTTTCTGTATGTATATAATATTTGTATTACTTTTAATTGGTAAGTGCCTGAAGCTAGTACTTCCTGACTTTTATGCAGAATCCTGGTGACTACTGCAGAAGCATTTAGTGACAGGAAATCCTGACCATTGTGTTAAGAATTTACTTTTGTTTGGTTCAGCTGGAAGAATTGTGTTCTTCCATACACATACTTTATAAATTTCAAACAGATCACTTTTTGGTAACAGATCTTAATCAGTTTTCAGCCTTTACTGATATAGTTGGTTTCTATTTGCTCATTATGGGTGACTTTGTAATGATACCAGATAGAGTGTGAGGGTTTTGCAGTTATATTGGATTACTGTAACATCATCCAGTTAATTTACAGGATAATTTAATAAACGGAATTTTTTAGAGTAAGGTAGGTAGTACAAATGTAAGTCACTTAGGCCTCTTCCTTTTCCTTTTCAGTAGCACAGTGTTGTAGATTTCTCTCATTTGTGTTATGCTTGATACACACTTGTCATCAGTCCTGTTCATCACAAGATGCATTTCAGTTTTGGGAATGGATTGGGATGGAGACAGAAGAGGAACTGGCTCCTAAAAGGCTGTAATTTTGTAAAACACATGCAACTGTTTTTTGCAAAATATTAAGATACTTTAAAAAAAATCTACTCCTTGGAAGAAATGGCAATTTGTATAGCTTTAATCAGTGGTACTGGGTTACTGTTTCCTTGGTCACTGTTTCTTTCCTTTCCCCCCTATTAAACAGAGCTTGATCTTTTTAGATGTGAAAATGGCAAGATACGCTTGCTGCTAAATTGCACAATGCATTAAGAAGCATTTACTTCAATTACTACAAATTAACAAATGCCTATTCAGAAAGGCACTAGGCAGAAAATCATGGCAAAACATGTTTAAACTTGTTCAGGGTCAAACCACTAGAAGTAATCTATATCCCTGTTGAATATAGATGTAATATTAGGCTTTGAAACTATTATGAAAACATAATGATGAAATTACTTCAGTCTGCACAGACTATAAATTATTTTGATAACTTAATTAAATTATTTGAAAATAAATATACTTATCAGAAGAGAGTATTACAGTTCTGTTCAAAGATGTTTGAAAACAGAATGAAGTGTAACAGATGCCTGATTTGTTTGTTGTTTATATCAAAATGTATTGTCATTGTAACCACTATACAGTAAATCAGGCACCTTATTTCTGTCATTTTTTGTGTGCATGTTGTTCAGGTTGAAAATAGTTAAGAGTGCAGAAACATACCAGGAGTTGTTGCTTGCCTTTATAAAGAAAAAGTAGGCATTTCTCTTGCATTTATGGATTAAGGTTAACTCTGAGCTGAACTAGTCTATATGGCAGGACCTCCAGGCCTTTGGGAGGATGGAGGCGACTGATGGAAGAAATGGTCCATTTTTATTGACTGCTGTTGGACAGGAGTTGGAGAACTGCTTTCAAAGTACAGAGCCCAATTCTGTCTTGCTGTGGTATGCCTTAATCCCATGCTGCATATTTTAAAAAGCATCATTCTCCAAACTCCTAATAAGTACAATGCAGCTGAGCATTTTAGACACATAGGGGTTGATCCGGCCAAAATGTGAGGATGCGCCTGCCCTTAAGCACTGAGCAGTCCCACTGAAGTCGGTCAGTGAGATTACGCAAGTACCTTACTGAACCAAGACGTAGTACTTAAAATCTACTTGGCTGCATCCAGTGCAACCTGATTAACTTCAGTTGAGTTGTACAGTTGTCTAACTGTAAGCATGATTTGGATCTAAAGTATACTGAGTTGCTCAAGTTAGGCAAAAGAGCTTTATGGCAGACTTTATGATGTGTATTAGGGCTGTGCAAAACAGCACTGTTTCACTTCGACTTCTGTTTTGCTGTTTCAGAGGGACAGTGTTGTGTTGTGTTGTGTTGTGTTGTTGTGTTTTGTTGTGTTTTGTTTTGTTTTGTTTTGTTTTGTTTTGAAGCACTGTTCCATGTAGTTTCATTGAAGCTGTTTCGACGTTTCACCCATAGGCTGTAATGGGGAATCATGAAAATGCCTATAACTTTGTCATTTCTTGCCTGATTCAGATGAACATTGCAGGGATGGTAGCCCTATCTGAGGGCATGAAGCCTGCCAAGTTTCAGAGAGATAGGTGGAGGGAAACTGCACCTCAAGCTGTTGACAAGCAAAATGTGTGTCACTTGCTGGTAGCGGCAGCCTCCTGTCATCCTGCATGCAGATCTGAGGACCTTCACGCCCTGGAGGGTTGTGGGGCTATGCCAGACTCCTCCCCGGGGTGTAGGCCCCTGGATCAGTGCTCAGGATGACAGGAGGCTGCTGCTGCCACCTACGACTGGTGCTGGGCATAGCCCGCACCCAGCACTGGAAGACTGCTGCGGCCACTGGCCACAGAGCTCAAGCCTAGTGACGGGGGGGGGGGGGGGGGCGCCACGGCGCG